CAAACTAAGCAGTCTTCATCCAGGAATATTCAGGACCTTAAAGTCTTTGGAAATTTTGTGAGTGGTTGTGTTTTTTTATTATTATTTTTTTATTTTCTAAGAGTAGAAATTATTTGGTAAAGTTTCTGGTCACGCACACTTTTATTTGAAAATATATTGACCTATTTGCAATTTACTATGTAAGGGCTCCTTTCGATTTTGTTATTTATTGATATGATTGCTAAGTTGATTGGGACAGTTTGGTCGATGTAGGAGTTGCTGGGGCCAAGAATTTTTTAACAACAATACGCTATTTTGTTCTCTCTCTGAGGAACAATTATTTTGAAGAGGCCTGGAAACAATCTGAATAAAAGAATTTTTAGTTTACCATGCTGCCACAGTGATCGGCAGATACTTTTCCCCAAAGTTATCATAAACATTTCAAATTTTAATGGATAACCTAATGAGCAATTTACAAATAACTACGTCTTCGTCGCTGCCGTCGTCGTTTAGAGCCAGCGGTAAACAACAACCAGCGACATTATGATACTTTAGGCAGTGTAACAATACATTTATTGAAAAGGTAATGGCACTGCGCTGCCACTTATCGTAACTCCCCATGCCAATTTTCTTTAGATAAACAGGTAGTGAAAAGCACTTCAGCAAATATTTTATTTCTTTGGTTAGTCGAAACTGCTCAAGGGTACTGTCTGTAGAAGAAGGAAACCATAAAATAATACAGCACTTTATGAATGCAGCAAAAAACTATAGAGGCCAGAAAAAACCAGAAGGGTCAAGGATGGCAAAGATTAACACAGGTCACGTGACGAATTGGAAAAATTAAGACTAAGGTTTTTTTTGGTTTCACAAACCAGGACAAAGCTCTGTAATTAACACAACAGTGAAAAATTTGAAACATGTTTCAGTAGAATAAGGCAAAGAAGGATCAGTAGCATAATAATCAAAACTTTTCCGAGCTATAATTTGTAGTTTTTATCGTCTTCATAGAGATCGGGTCGAGCGTGGTCCTGAGAAGGACTGTTGTCGTTGGAAGTGACTGACGTTTCATCAACCTGAGCGGAAGTCTTCATCCGAGTCAAGTGAATAGTTCTTGTCAGTCGAATGTTCTAAGTCCCCCTCGTATAAACTGATTGGTCAGTTTTGCCGTGATGTTATTGGCTGTAAGACTCAAGTGGCGTAGGTCGGTCGTGATTGGTCGGTCTGGATCCGTCGGTAAAGTTAGGTCGTTAAGTTATGTCGCACTGTTCGTCCGTAATGTTAATATCGTGAATGAGTCGTGTGTTCTAATTTAGTAAAACAGCTTTCCAGAATCATTCGTTGAAAGCAGGTGGCGCTGTAGGTTTAGCATTGCGCAGAGTCGCAGTCAATATTGTGGTCGTAAGTCGATGATGTTCAGAAATGTGTTTGCTGACATCTCAAGTTTCCTCGTCGCTTGTTAACTTCAATCACTCATTTAGTTTGTCGAGAACGACAACATGTAAAATGACACGCTTTTGAGTAAACTAGCACACGACTCAAATGAGAAAAAGAGCGCGCCAGCCATTAAAATGGCACTCGGTTCAAGTGCGCAATATGACACGTAAAACCTTGTCAAATGACACATCGGCTGAATCCAAGTGTGAATATGGTGAAAGGCCTCCGAAGGTGGACAAAAAATCGATCGCAATTCTGAATTGAGTATGAGATCAAGAGTATGCCCAATGCGGGCTAATACAAATTTAACATGAAGTTTTATGTAAATGGATTTTCCCATCACCGGATGCCTTTAGGACCATTTTACCTCTGCTGCTCTGCAGTCACACACGGTAATGATATCCTAGTGCGTTGGCCAGCCAAGCCACCTTGCTATATATATCCGGGCGCTGAATGCGTTTCTACTCGAGTCAAAGCAAGCAATTAAATGCCACAGCACAGTCCTCACTATGCACTAGTCACTGTGCACTCCTCACCCTGCATATAGAGGCGTTAATCAATAAACGGACAGAATCAACGCCTTTGTTGCCTCTGACAGGCCAGACTAGTTCATTCGTACTAAACTGAAACATGTCTTTTGAGTATCAAAGTAGTTTGCTCTAATCATTTAATTACTTTCTATTCTCGTATAGTTCTTGTAAACAATGCGGAAACTGTAGATGAGAAACAAAACTTTTTTCATTCTTACGTTGGGTCGGCCCGAGGGCCACTTTGGACAAATGGTAATCGCTTTAATTGAATTACAAAAACAAACAAGTTAACAAAAACACTATGGCAATAATTTTGTGCGACCTGGCTATGTGCTCATAAATCATGACCAAACCCTGATGTAGGAACCATCGACAGCAATTTAAGAGTGAATGTCTCTAAAAATCAAAGAAAAATAACAAAATCGCGGACATGGTAAAAAAATCATTTCGTCCCATTTTTTGTCTACAGGTAGCTATAGGTACTACTTAAAGTGAAGTGAGGTTAGTTTCTGTAAATATTCATTTTAACGGAAATAAACCGATACTAATTGCATGATCGAAAATGAGTGCCTGCGAGCTCTAAATTATGCAGTTTTCAGGCCGTCCTTGCATGAACTAAAATGCAACAGCAGGACTTCTCTAGCTACAAATATATACATGTGGCCTTCCATTACCAAGATATAATGATATTTTTTGTATCGTGTCCTTCCTGACGAAACCACGGATTAATTACCAGTGGACGTGTTCGCCATATTTAATTCATGCCAAACCCGGCCTAATGTAGTGTGGCAAAAATGCATGTGGTAGTTTCTCAAAATCTCCAGCAATACTATCACGAGGGCTTATAAGGTGGGTCTTCAAATTCATCTTTTCATTTTTCTGGTATCTTCCGCTGTTTTGATGTACCAACCAACCAAACTTCGTTAAAATTGTAAATGGCGCCATATTGAAATGAACAAAATCAACATTGCAATGACACAAGCAAAGCACTGTTTGAGTCGCAGCCGCACTTAGCTTTTTATTTTTGCTTTGACATAAATAGTTCCTTACCTTAGAAATCTTTTATAGGCCCTTGTTATTCCGCTTGGAAGATATTTTCGAAATACTGTCCTTTGCAATTTGGTGTGAAGGTGGCCGACCGGCTAACTGATTGAAGCCACTGAGCCGGGATGAGTAAAATAAAGTTACTTGTTGTTGTCATTTTCTACAGCGCGTCACAACCCAGTTACGTTTAGTCTACTTTGATCTTTATTTTGGTTTTATTGACGTCTCACACAAAAAGGGTCCCGTACAAAACGGCAGGTAACGCTAGCGATTTGCCGGATTTCAATTTTTCACAGGTTCCTGTCACTCTGCGTGACATATGATAATCTGTCACGTAACGAGATCAACAAACAATTCATTCTGCCTCACATATAAGATCTAAACAAATACATTGCCATCATCAACGAGAACGATACAACAAAGAAATAGACTTTACAAAATTTTACAAATATAAACCGTACAGTGAAAACCTTATGGAACGAAAATAACAATACAATTTTCCCACGGAAAACAAATGTGATGGGTTAACGAAAGTAAACAAAAAACAAAAGCGTAATAATCGTCGGTGAAGGGAATAAAGACAAAGGTTGCTTTAACTCCAGCAGAAAAAGAATGTCTTAATCTTTACATGATATTGTAGGTGGCGTTTGTGGCGCAGAGGAAGCCACAAGCGTTTTTTACAATTTTCAGGTGCTGAGACAGAGATTGAACTTATCTTAGCAAGAAGCGGGATTTTCGCGAAGCCTGATACACGGAAGAGCTGCTCCTCTTCCAAACCAGGAGAAAAGGAGAATGAAAATTGAACCTGTAAGATTAGAACATTTTGTTTCTTTCATAACGAGTCCACACGTTACTCAAGATGTTCCTTTCGGGGAAAAACTTCTAAAATTGTCGACTGGCGAGATCATAAAAACACCCAATGTTATCAGAACGATGATACCAGAGCGTATTGTCCAATAGTATCAACAATACTGCTGTGAAACCAACTTTGAGCCTATGAGTAAGAGAACTCTACAGAGAGTTTGGGCCGTGTGTTCTTCATCTGTTCGCAAGTCTCTGCAAGGACTTGATAACTTTTCAGCATCAGGAATGGAAGCAGTTGATGCTATAGAAAAACTCGTAGACAAGCTTGTTGACTGTGGCAAGACTCAGCAATGAGCGAGGGAAATTAAGCAGCAACTTCGTTTTTCGAAGCAGTACCTAAAGGGCGACTACAAGGTGGGTGCATATTTTATAATTATGCGTTGCCTTTGCAAATGTAGTAAACTTCTTACTATGATTCACGGCTACCTCTTTCTTTCTCTCCAAGTCTTCTTTATGCTTAATTGATGAAACAACAGTTTACAATTCACTGTAATACGCTTACACACATGTATACAACGCTGAGAATCGATTAAGTAATCTTTTTGAAATGTCGATCATATGCGCATGCAATGCTTTGTAAATATACATTGAATCACGTGCTTGTCATTTTACTTTTTATTTTAGGTACATGCAGTGGAGGCCACAAAGGTTCCCGATCATTGTCGAATTTACGCGCTAAGTGACCAGAGCAATGCTGAATTTCGGGGCTCCTGCGACCATCTCCACAATGAGTCATATGAGCAGTGTTATGTGTTACAGGAAGTATTGTGTACCATAGAAGATGAGTGTTCAAGTGCGCTCTTGTCAGCAGAAGATCAAGCTGACATGCAACTTACCATCAAACAGGCAAGGGATGATATCATTTGCTGGAAAGCCCATCAGCTACGTTCAGTCCACCAAGCTGAGGCGAAGCATTCAGTTTTAGCCAAACTCGACAGCCGATCGGTGTTGTTAGTCCAGGACTGGGCAATGAAATATATGCCCCGAAAATATTGAGAGGCGCAGTCAGATTGGTTTGCGAAGCGAGGATTGCCATGGCACATTAGTGTTGCCATAAGACGGTCAGAGGGTTCTGAGCACTTTGAATCGCAGACACCTGTTCACGTATTTCAAAGCTGCGCCCAAGACAGTGTGACTGTGGCTTCGATTATGCTTGACTGCCTCACTACCCTGAAAAAGGAAATTCCAGAGCTGGAAATGGCTTATTACAAACAAGATAACGCTGGCTGTTATCACAGTGGAAATTCAATCATCTCAGCTAAGCTGGCCAGTGATGCAATGGGAGTGGCTTTTGTAAGAAACGACTTTTCGGACCCTCAAGGTGGAAAGGGGGTATGTGATCGCAAAGCGGCAACAATCAAGGGAAGGTACGTTGGAAGGTACGTAAACGAAGGCAATAATGTCATCAACGCTCTACAGTTCAAAACAGCCATTGAATCTGGCCAAGAAACCACAGGAGAGAAAGCAAGTTATGTTGCTGCCAAACCGTCAAGCACCTTTAATATCAAATGGGATGGCATAAGCTTACTCAACAATTTTGAGTACGATGAAAGTGACACACGAGTGTGGAGAGCATTCAATGTAGGTTCCGGTAAAGTAGTGCCATGGGCCAAGTTCGAAGGAGTCATGAAGTAGCCCGAAAAATTGGAAATCCTAGACTCGCCATCGCAGAGTCCAAGTGGCGCACCGACGTTCAAGATTGTGAGACACCGAAATATTAAGGAAAGCTCTGTCAAAGCAAATTTCTTAACTGAAAGCGAAAACCAAGATCGAAGCTGTATTGGGGAATATAAGCCAGATGACATGCTTTTCCCGTGTCCAGAAGAAGGATGTGTAAAAGCCTACAGTCGCTTTGCAAACCTCCAGACACACCTAGATACTGGAAAACACCAAATGATGCTCGAATAGGAAACTCTCTACGATAAAGCTAAAAGAGATTATTCTTCCAAGCTGATGGAGGGACGCAGTCGAATACCAAGCGTTCAAGTTGCTGCACAATCAAAGGGAGACGGCTTGCCGCCTCTTCCAATGGGTTGGGCCCCGAAGACAATTAAGAAAAAGGTGCGTTTTACAAGGAAACAGACCGAATTCTTAACTGACCAATTTCAAAAAGGGGAGTATAGTGGACGGAAAAGCGATCCACAGGAAGTTTCGAAAACCACGAGCCTAGCAAGAGACCAAGCGGGGGGACGTCGATTTCAACCTGATGAAGTCCTTACGTCGCAGCAGATTAGTGGCTTCTTCAGCCGTCTTTCAGTAAAGAAGCGATTAGAAGTTACAGCCGCCGGTAACCGAGCAAAAGCTAGTGAAATCTCAGAAGTGGACATGGAGAGCGTCGACAAGGACGAAATTTCCGCCGAAGCTGAGAGCCATCTATCTGCAGTGTGTGCAAATGTGATGAGAGATGTGGCTATTCAACATCCGATTGTATCTTTCGATCTAAACATCTGTTAACTTGTACAAAAACGTACACTCACAACTTTAAGAGTGGATAGGCTAAGAGACATGTGCATAGACCTTGGGCTGGATATTTCTGACATTTCACCTCAGAAGAGGAAGAAGCCATTCATCGCACGACTCACACAATTAGTCCAGGAGTGTACCTGCTCTTCCAAGTAACTGAGCACTGAACGTTTTACGAATAACTGATCTGCTGATTATAAAAGCGGTGCATGTATTATTTACATGGAGGCGTTGCGTGACAGCAGAGTCCTACATATCGGATTTTAGTCACTTGAGCTCACCATTGCTTGTGAAACCTCATCTTTGTGTTGGACGATTTTTAGTAAATTCGAAACTGGCGAGTGCAGAGGGCGCAGAAGGGATGCAAATGCTCGAATCCATGTTCACCGGATGAGAAGTAAACGGAAACTAACGGCTTTGTGCCAAATTAAACCTTTTGAGTGCAATTGAACCGTTTAACCTGTTGTGTGTAGAATTATGCAGAATTATGGCGTGATTCTCAAAAGGTAGCAAAAGTCGAAAATTGTTTCTCCTGTCTCCGTATATAAAAATCAAGTGTAGTTATAGACATTTTAATATGTTTCTAGTCATTTTAACGGCCAGTGAAGATATAACTGACCAAAACAGTTATTTGTGTCCGACGCGTTTAATTTTGTTATTATGCATCTCATTATGGCGTCATGGTAATTTAACTGAAATTTGGCTGGTGGTCATCTTTTGATAGTCAAAGGTCCCAAAGAAATAAAACCCACATCGTAAAGAACTATCTTTCAAGGCTTCTTGGTAGTGTTATTGTAAACTTTGAGACACTACCACATGTATTTATGCCAAGCTATTCTAGGCCACCTTTGCCTTAATTTCGAAAGGCCGAAGATGTCGTCTCTTAATAGGAACGTAGCTCCTCCAAGAATAACATTAGACAAAAACTATCACTTTGTCTCGGTAATACAAGTCCAACTCAATATTTCTATGACTAGAAAAGTCCTTCCGTTACATTTTTGTTAGCATGACAAGTGCCCGAAAAGTGCATAATTTCAGGATCGCGCTTGGTGAAATTTGAGCTATTTACCCCCGGAAATGTTAAAACAAATTATTCCCGTTAAAGTGCATATTTAAAAAATCTAACCCCATTTCCGTTTGTTTACTAGATAAGGCTACCCACAGGCAAAAAATGAACCAAATCGATTTTTGACCGTGTCCGCGACTTTTTCGATAATCTGTGATTTTTATTGACATTTACTCTTAACTGTTTGTCCTCCATGCGTTTCCGTACCCGAGTCAAGCTAGCAATGTCAGAATAGTCCTCAACTTCAAGCTGCATACAAAGGCGTTAATTAACATACAGGCGAAAAAAAACCCCTTGGTTGGAAGCGACAGACCAGACCAGGTCATTAATAATGAATTGTAACATGACCGTTGTATATCAATATCTTATGGTAATCTCATGAAAGCTCTCAAAATCTCTCAAAATCTCACGAAAGCTCTTAAAATGATATTTATTCATTCATACTGTTAGTCGGCCTGGGGTCATTTTTGACAAGTGGTAAACGCCTTCTACTTGTAATAAAATAAAAAACAGCCGTCGTAATAAGTTTATAAACAGGCCCAAAGCGGGATTATTGCTTTGAAATACTAGCCCCGTCACTTTTAATCCGCTTCGTTTTAACTACCGTCCGGCTTGTTTCCAAAGTCCGGAAGACTCATAGATCTTCCGTACGGTTATATTATCATATCTGTTTGTCTAAAGGCAAAGTTATGCCTGAATATAGAACAGAATGAGATGGAAGGAGTCTCCTGGAGAGGCATGAAATATCAAATAATCGAGGTTATGCTTTTACATTGCTGAACGATCAATTAAATACAATTAGTAAATGATCAACTGGCAACCAACTGAAAAGACAGCAAGGGACAAAAAATTACCATCTCTTCTATTCTTTGAGAAGAAAATGAAAAATTGTGCGTTACATAGTAAAAGACTTTATCATTTTTGCTCTGCGTGCTAAATGTTTTGGCTTCGTAATTACTTATTTTAAAAATCACTGACATGATCGGATGGAAATTGAAGAATCTAAGGTGAACGCTGAGCTCAGCCAAGTAAGGGATATTTACGTCTGAGTCACAACTGTATACTTTGGTCCTAATCAAACATGTTTTGTCCAACATCATGTTGGTGGAGCATGTACAACCACATACACTTGAAATGCCTCCCTCAACATTGTGTTTGATGGATTCTTAGGTTTGTTCTAAATCAAACATATTTATTCAACATTCTCCTTCTTCACGGGCAAACGTTTTGATAGCAATTGTGCATATATCGAAGTATCAATACACGCAGAAGGAGAGCACGAGAGAAGCGTTTTCGAGGAGCAAAGGTCTTCCCTTGGGCAGCTACAACACTGGTATTTTGATGGACAGTAACACCAATTTGGAAGACCCGGATGAGCTGGTTTTTTTTCTAACTCGAATGAAGAACTGTTTGTAACATTTTGTTAGAAGGAATGGTAGCTAAACTGACGGTAAAGATAGAGTTTGTTACAACTGTGCGTATAGTTAACAGCTAGTCCACGATCGTGCGTTAGATGTAAGGATGGTAAAAGCAAAGAAGGGCGTAGCGCCGAGCTAACTGTGACCGATCACGTATCCAACCAAAACAAATGGAATTTTAGCTTCGCTCAAATTAGACACTTATAAATTTTGCTGTGGTCGAACACTTATTTTTTTTTCACTCTTAATATTTTTTCCAAATTTAAAGCAAACTGAAGTCACTGCTTCTTTCCATTGTCAAACTGGAAATAAATCACAAAACAGAGGTTTTGCTATGCGACCGGAACTAAATCAAAATCCAATGCTAATCAATTTACACATCTTTTTCTGAATATTTTTAAATGAATTTAAAATCCAAGAAGTTTTCAAGAATACGAGAGGAGGTTGAATACTTCTTAGACAAGCATTCAATTACGTTGGAGTTTTAGCTCATCGACAACTGAAGCAATGAAGTTGTGCACAGCCTTTTGAATAAGTTTTTTGTTTCGTGGAAACGAGCGGAGGAAGTGATCGAGAAAAATAATTCAGCGAGCGACACTTCAGTAAATTGAGTGATCTAATCTGAACACTGGAAGCGCAATAACCGATGCCAAGAAAGAAAGAAAGAAAGAAAACTCTGACCGACCTGAAGGCCATCGTGAGTAAAGGACGATTAGTACTCGGCCAGGTATTCGTATATAACCGAACGGTTTATCAAAATAGACTAGTGAGTCATCGAAATAATACAGAACAATAAGAAAAAGTAAGAGTGCCGCATACCATTAAAGTAGGTCCTTCTTTTAAAGTTCCTTAACTTAGAGCACATTAGATTCGCATAGATGGTCTTCTATTATCGTCTTTCGATAACTCAAACCTGTGACAGAAATTTAAAAAGAGCTTGAAATATCGATATATATTTCAAAATTTTGAAAACAAAAGACCAGAACTGAGGAAAATAGGCTTTTTATGGATTTTTTTTCGTAGAGTGTCAAGATATTTTTCTTCACCTTGAACATTTTGATCAAATTCGATGACAGCATAGTGAACAGTCGCTACTAAGCTGCGTTTATAAGACTACTCATCTGTAATGCTACTCAGTCGTTGAGTTTTCAAACTCTGATTGCGCTGAATATAATAATGAAAAGCCAGGTTTTTTGACATTGCTTCATAACAGATACCAAAGGTGGCTGTATGCGTTTTTGAAAAGAAGTCTGACAACTTTTCAAATATCAGGTCTCTTTACAACAACAAACTAAGCAGCCTTCATCCGGGAATATTTTTTTCCTTTTTTTTGTAAATTATAGAAATCGATCGTTAAAATTTTGGTCACAGCGACTTTTATTCAAAAATAGAGTGACCGAATCTGTGTAAGCACAATATCAAAGGGCTTTCTCTGTAGTTATTTACTGATTTTATTAGTTTATTATTTAGTTCATGAGAAAATACCGGGTGAGCAGAATAAAATAAAGCAAAAACATGTTCATGAAAACATGATCGAAAGTAGTAGGGAAAACAAAATAAACAAATAAATTGCCATAATTATAGCATATTGAGTACTTTTAAATTATGTGAAACGTTTCCCTGTCATGGTTATTGTCATACTTGTTGCTAACCTACCATCCACATCCTTTATTATAGGAGCTTATCTAATAATCAGCTAAAAGAACTACCACCAAAAGTTTTTGATGAATTGACTCAGCTGCAGTACTTGTGAGTAGCATATTGAGTACTTTTAATTATGTGAAACGTTTCCCTGTTAGCAAATATGCTCAATGGAAAGCAGTAAGGAAAACAAAATAAACAAATAAATTGCCATAATTATTGTCATGGTTATTGTCGTAGTTGTTGCTAACCTTCCATCCACATCCTTTTTTACAGGTGGTTATATGGTAATCAGCTAAAAGAACTACCACCAAAAGTTTTTGATGAATTGACTCAGCTGCAGTACTTGTGAGTAGCATATTGAGTACTTTTAATTATGTGAAACGTTTCCCTGTTAGCAAATATGCTCAATGGAAAGCAGTAAGGAAAACAAAATAAACAAATAAATTGCCATAATTATCGTCATGGTTATTGTCATAGTTGTTGCTAACCTACCATCCACATCCTTTATTACAGGTGGTTATATGGTAATCAGCTAAAAGAACTACCACCAAACGTTTTTGATGAATTGACTCAGCTGCAGTACTTGTGAGTAGCATATTGAGTACTTTTAATTATGTGAAACGTTTCCCTGTTAGCAAATATGCTCAATGGAAAGCAGTAAGGAAAACAAAATAAACAAATAAATTGCCATAATTATCGTCATGGTTATTGTCATAGTTGTTGCTAACCTACCATCCACATCCTTTATTACAGGTGGTTATATGGTAATCAGCTAAAAGAACTACCACCAAAAGTATTTGATGAATTGACTCAGCTGCAGTACTTGTGAGTAGTATATTGAGTACTTTTAAATTGTGCGAAAC